CAGGAGAAATATCAATAACCTCAGATATGCAGATGACACCACCGTTATGGCAGAAAGTGAAGAAGAACTAAAGAGCCTCTTGATGGAAGTGAAAGAGGAGAGTGAAAAAGTTGGCTTAAAGCTCAACATTCAGAAAACTAAGATCAAGGCATCTGGTCCCATCACTTCATGGCAAATAGATGGAGGAACAGCGGAAACAGTGGCTGACTTTATTTTGGGGAGCTCCAAAATCACTGCAGATGGTGATTGCAGCCATGAAATTACAAAACGCTTACTCCTTGGAAGAAAAGTTATGACCAACTTAGACAGCATATTAAAAAGCAGAGACATTACTTTGCCAACAAAGATTTGTCTCGTCAAGGCTATGGTTTTTCCAGTGGTCATGTATGGATGAGAGAGTTGGGCTATAAAGAAAGCTGAGTGCCAAAGAATTGATGCTTTTGAACTGTGGTGTTGGAGAAGACACTTGAAAGTCCCTTGGACTGCAAGGAGATCCAACCACTCCATCCTAAAGGAGATCAGTCCTGAGTGTTCATTGTAAGGACTGCTGTTGAAGCTGAAACTCCAATACTTTGGCCACCTGATATGAAGAGCTGACTCGTTTAAAAAGACCCTGATGCTGGGAAAGATTGAAGGAGGGAGGAGAAGGGGACAACAGAGGATGAGATGGTTGGATGGCATCACTGACTCAATGGACATGAGTTTGGGTAATCTCTGGGAGTTTGTGATGGACAGGGAGGCCTAGCATGCTGTGGTCCATAGGGTCGCAAAGAGTCAGACATGACTGAGCAACCGAACTGAACTGAACTGTATTACAATTACAATATTGTGGGACTTATGTAATCTCCCCAGGAATATAGATACACAAATGGAGAATTAATCGGTGTGATAAGTGCCATTTTGTCAGCACTAAGTTCTGCATACAAGATACAGAAGCAACATCTCCATCAGACCTGGAGGCGTTTCTGGACAGAATTTAGAGAGGGAATGCCGTAACATGTAATTTGGAAATTAACAGCTATCTATAGGAACAGAAAGATGTTCCATGACATGGGATTCCACTTCTTTGCAGACATCATATGGCTAAAAGTGTCTTTAGCCTTGGCCATGAGCATTGTATTGATTTGCTCCTACGCTCTGTTAGCTGAATGGTTATGGATGCTCAGAGAATGGCCATCACATCATAGCTACCCATGTGTGATGTGTACAAATCCTGTTAAACTAAACATGCGGGTACACAGCAATGTGTCATTGGTGGTCTATTGAAAAAGTATGCCATAATTTTGATTTTGATTTTTGCAAAAGCAGTTCTCTAAAGATAACTCTGACGACCATACAATTAATCCAATAACTGCTGTTTCAATATGTATAAGTCCTGTGATAGTGCTTCTGAAATAGACAATCATTGCCACCACTGAAGTATGTCTCCCTCAGACATACTGGAGAACTGAGGAGAGTCTTATCATCCATCTGCATGACGGTAACTGCTGCTCAGCTAAGAACTATGAAATTGGAATCAGTGAAGTGAAAGTCGCTCAGTCATGTCCAACTCTTTGCGACCCCATGGACTATGCAGCCCAGGGAACTCTCCAGGCCAGAATACTGGAGTGGGTAGCTTTTCCCTTCTCCAGAGGATCTTCCCAACCTAGGGACTGAACCCAGGTCTCCCAAATTGCAGGCAGATTCTTTACCAGCTGAGCCACAAGGGAAGCCCAAGAATACTGGAGTGGGTAGTCTATCCCTTCTCCAGGGGATCTTCCTGACCCAGGAATCCAACCAGGGTCTCCTGCATTGCAGGCAGATTCCTTAGCAACTGAGCTATGAAGGAAGTCCCTACGAAGCTGGAATGTATCATAATAAATGTAAATTATAAAACAGCTCAGAATCAGAGTATTCACTTACAACAAACATGTAACCCAGGCATCTGTGAAAATATCATGAGAAAATGCAGAGATCAATATTCTTATTGAGTTATAATTGACAGATACAACTATATATATTTAAAGTGTACAATGTACAACGTGATGTTTTGACATATGAATACATTATGAACTACATTACCTGTATCTATTGAATTGGTCATACTATTTTTATCCGTCTTTCTGTTAACATGGTGCATCACATTAATGATTATGTATGTTGAACCATTCTTGCATCCCAGGGATAAATACCACTTCCCACTTTATCAGTTCAGTTCAGTTCACTCACTCAGTCGTGTCCATCTCTTTGTGACCCCATGGACCGCAGCAAACCAGGCTTACCTGTCCATCACCAACTCCTGGAGCTTTCTCAAACTCATGTCCATTGAGTCAGTGATGGCATCCAATCATTTTGTCTTCTGCACCCCCTTTTCCTCCTGCCTTCAGTCTTTCCCAGCAGCAGGGTCTTTTCCAATGAGTCAGTTCTTCACATCAGGTGGCCAAAGTATTGGAGTGTCAGCTTCAGCATCAGTCCTCCCAATGAATATTCAGGACTGATTTCCTTTAAGATTGATGGGTTTGATCTCCTTGCAGTCCAAGGGACTCTCAAGACCGTCTCCAACACCATAGTTCAAAAGCATCAATTCTTCAGTGTTCAGCTTTCTCTATGGTCCAACTCTCACATCCATACATGACTACTGGAAAAACCATAGCTTTGACTAGATGGACATTTGTCAGCAAAGTAATGTTTCTGCTTTTTAATACGCTGTCTAGGTTTGTCATAGCTTTTCTTCCAAGGAGCAAGCATCTTTTAATTTCATGGCTAATCACCACCTGCAGTGATTTTGGAGCTCAAGAAAATAAAGTCTGCCACTGTTTCCATTGTTTCCCCCATCTGTTTGTCATGAAATGATGGGACCGGGTGCATGATCTTAGTTTTTTGAATGTTCAATTTTAAGCCAGTTTTTCACTCTCCTCTTTCACTTTCATCAAGAGGCTCTTTAGTTTCTCCCACTTTATCAAGGTGTATGATTCTTTAAGTGTACCATTAAATTGAGCTTGCCAATATTTTGTTGCTTCATGGTTGGTTCTTAGTAGGTTGTATGTTTCTGGAATTTATCCATTCCTTAAAGGCCATCCAATTTGTTAATATATAATTATTTGTAGTAATTGCTTATGAGCCTTTGTATTTCTGTGGTATCAGTTTTAATGTCTCCTCTCATTTCTAATTTTATTCATTTGAGTCTTCTCAATATAGAAGTCTATAGTTTTTTGTCAGTCTAGCTAATAGTCTGTCAATTTTGTTAATTTTTTTTTAAAAAAAACTCTGCTTTATTGATATTTTCTATTTTCTAATCTCTATTTTATTTATCTCTGCTCTTATCTTTGTTATTTCCTTCCTCTGCTAGCTTTAGGTTTAGTTTTCTAGTTCCTTGAGGTGTAAAGTTGGGGTGCTAATTTAAGTTCTTTCTTTTTTAATATAGGAATTTATTGTTATAAACTGTATTAAAATTTGTTTTAAAATGCCTTTGCTGCATTCCATAACTTTTTTTAATGTGGTACTTCCATTTTCCTTGGTATCATATTTTCATTTCTCTTTTGTTTTCTTCTTTGATCCATTGATTGTCGTGGAGAGTGCTGTTTAATTTCATCATGTTTGTGAATTTTCAGTTTCTCTTTGTTATTAATTTCAAATTTTATAATAAATAACTTCCAATTTCCAAAGTGGTTGGAAAATATACTCAATATGATTTTATTGTTGTTCAGTTGCTAAGTCATGTCGAACTCTGAGACCCCATGGACTGTAGCACACCAGGCTTCCCTGTCCTGCACTCTTCCAGATATGATTTCAATCCTCTTAAATTTGTTAAAGCTTATTTCATGACCCAACTTTTGACCTATCTTCTCTGTGCACTTGAGAAGTATGTATATTCTGCTATTGTTACATGGGATGTTCTATATAGTCTACTAGGTTCCTTTAATCTAAAGTGTAGTTCATATTTTCTATTTCTTCCTGGTTTATTTTTAGGAGACTACTCCTGTCTAAGAATTTATCCATTTCTTCCAGGTTGTCCATTTTATTGGCAAGTAGTTGCTTGTAGTATTCTTTTATGATCTTTTGTATTTTTGTGGTATCCATTGTAACTTCTTTTTTTTCCATTTATTTTTATTAGTTGGAGGCTAATTACTTTACATCATTGCAGTGGTTTTTGTCATACATTGAAATGAATTAGCCATGGATTTACATGTATTCCCCATCCCGGTCCCCCCTCCCACCTCCCTNTTCCCTCTGATCTTTATGATTTTTTCCTTCTACTATCTTTGGATTTTGTTTGTTCTTCTTTCTCTAGTTGCTTTAGGTGTAAGGTTAGGTTGTTAATTTGTGATTTTTCTTGCTTACTTAAGCAAGATTGTATTGCTATAAACTTCCCTCTTAAAACTGATTTTTCCATAGGATTTGGATTGTGATGTTTGTTTTCAGATGACATGATGCTATACATATCATGATTTGACATATCATGATTTGATGTTTGTTTGCAGATGACATGATTTCTATACATAGAAAATCCTAAAGATGCTACAATAAAACTACTAGAGCTCAACAATGAATTCAGTAAAGTTGCAGGATACAAAATTAATACACAGAAATCTGTTGCACTTCTACATTCTAACAACAAAAGAACAGAAAAAGAACAGAATTGAAGACCTATACTCTGAAAACTATAAGACCCTTATGGAAGAAATTGAAGATGATACAAATAGATGAAAATATATACTATGTTCTGGGATTGGAAGAATCAATATTGTCAAAAATGACTATACTAGCTAAGGCAATCTACAGATTTAATGCAACCCCTATCAAATTATCAACGAAATTTCTCACAAACTAGAACAACAAAAAAAAAATCTTAAAAGGAGTATGGAAACACAGAAGATCCCAAACAACCAAAGTAATCTTGAGAAAGAAAAATGGAGCTGGAGGAATCAGCTGTGGTCATCAAAACAGTATGTTACTAGTACCAGTAGATAGATAAATAGATCAATATGGAGCAGGATAGAAAGTCCAGAAATAAACCCACACACTTAGGTTCAATTAATTTACAACAAAGAAGGCAAGACTATACAATGGAGGAAAGACATAAATGGTGCTTGGAAAGCTGCACAGCTCCAAGTTTTTTAAAAATGACATTAGAACATTTTTAATACCATACACAAGATATAAAATCAAAATGGATTAAAGACCTAAATGTAAGACTGAAAACTATAAAACTCTTATAGGAAAACATATGCAGAACACTCTTTGACATAAATCACAGCAATATCTTTTTTGAGCCATATCCTAGAGTAATGGAAATAAAAGCAAAAGTAAACAAATGAGACCTAGTCAAACTTGAAAGCTTTTGCACAGCAAAGGAAACCATAGACAACATAAAAAGACAACCTTTGGGATGGGAGAAAATATTTGCAACAGATGCAACTGACAAGAGATTAGTCTCCAAAGTTTACAAACAGCTCATGTGTCTCAATATCAAAAAAGCAAACAATCAAACAATGGGCAGAAGACCTAAATAGACATTCCTCCAAAAAGACATACAGAGGGTCAGGAGGCACATGAAAAAATGCTCAACATTGCTAATTATTAGAGAAATGCAAGTCAAAACCAAAATAAAATATTGCCTCACACTGGTCAGAATGTGTAGTCTTAGTCGATCAGTCGTGTCTGACTCTTTGCGACCCCACGGATTGTAACCTGCCAGGCTCCTCTGTCCATGGGATTCTCCAGGCAAGCATACTGGAGTGGGTTGCCATTCCCTTCTCCAGAGGCCTTCCCAACCCAGGTCTCCTGCATTGCAGGTCGATTATAGTCAAAACAGCCATCATCAAAAAATCTACAAACAATAAATGCTGAAGAAGCTGTAGAGAAAAGAAAACCCTCCTACACTGTTGGTAGGAATGTAAATTGGTATAGCCACTATGGAGAATAGTGAGGAGGTTTCTTTAAGAACTAAAAATATAGCTATTATAGGATCTAACAACCTCACTCCTGGGCATACATCTGGAGAAAAACACTGTTCAAAAGGGTACATGCTCCCCTGTGTTCATAGAGCACTATTTACAATAGCCAAGACATGGAAACAACTTAAATGTCCATCAACTGATGAACAGATAAAGATGTGATTCATATATACAATGGAATAGTACACAGCAATTTAAAAGAATGATAATGCCACTTGCAGCAATGTTGATGGACCTGGAGATTATCATATTAAGTGAAGTTAGTCATACAGAGAAAGACAAATATATGATACTGCTAATATGCAGAATCTTAAAAAAATTATACAAATGAACTTATTCACAAAAGACTGACTTAGAGAATGAACTTATAGTTACCAGTGGGGAAGGGTGGGAGGGAGGGATAGACTGGGAAAAAAAAACATATAGTTCAAATCATTATTTCCTATTGATTTTCCATTTCCATTTTCCACTGTTGAAAGTGGTATTGAAGTCCCCAGCTATTATTGCACTACTGTCTATTTCTGCCTTCAGATTGTTAATATTTGCTCAGTATTTTATTTTGCCCTTTTCTTAATTTGTCTTTCTCTTTCTCTTCTTCTTCTGGGACTTCCATAATGAGAATAGTGTTTTATTTGTTGGTGTTCATAATCCAACAAGCATTCTGTACTCTCTTTAATATTTTTTCTTTGTTCTTCTCTGGCTGGAAAATTTCAAATGACTTGTCCTTGAATTCATAGATTTTTCCTCCACTTTATACATCATTTGTTGGTGCTCTGTATATTGTTTCATTTATTGTATTCTTCAGCTTTAGAATTTGGTTCATTTTTATCATTTCTAGCTCTCTTTTCAACTTCTCATTTTGTTCATGTATTACTTTCTTAATGTCATTGAATTGCCAACCGGCCTTCTCTTGTAGCTCATTGAGTTTCCTTAAGACAGTTTCCTTGAATTCTTCATGAAGCAGTTCAAAGACATCCATTTATTAGAGGTCAGTTGCTGGAAAACTGTTCTGTTCCTTTGTTGGTGTCATGTTTCCCTGATCTTTTATGTTTCGTGTAGTGTTGCATTGATATGTGCACATTTCATGGAAGAATTACCTCTTCCAAACTTTATAGACTAGATTTGTTGGAGAAAGACCTTCACTTGTGGGGGAATGAGCAGGTACCAGCTGGGTGGGGTGTGCCAACTCCAGCTGTGAGGAAGGTCCAGTAGTGTAGTCTCCATGCAGCTCCACCAAGTGAGGGCTGCGTTGGTAGCAGCCCTCTAATATTATTGGTATAAGGGCTGTTTGGGGTATGGATGCCTACCACATCTTTCCTCAGAGCGTGCTGGTCATTTTGCCCTTAATGGGAGGTGTAATTGATGTTGCAAGGTTCATAGCCTGCACTGAATGTTGGGTAGATCTTCCTCTTTGCTCCGTGACTGTCATAGCCCTGTCAGGGTTGGGATCTAATCCCCAGTTGTTGGAATAGAAGCCCTAAGGGTCAGATTCCATAAGGTTCCATTGCCCTTAAGTGCAAGCTTTGTGCCAAAGGAAGCAAGTGCTATAGCAAGTGGGGCCCATATGATCACAGTGAACTTATGTACCTTCCAGGCAGGCATTCACAGTTCTGCCCAGTAGCAGCCCAAATTTTCATCCCTTCTCTGTGTGTTCATCCTAACGTAGCGCTATAGTAGCTCTGGGAGCGGGTGCTACAGCTGCAGGAATCAAGGTGGCTGCCCTGCTGCCTGGGACCTGGGGGGCTGCCTCTTTAAATCCCTCTTTTGAAATATTTGCTTCTGTGTTTCTTCCTTCTCCATCTTATCAAACTCCTCTCAGAATTTTCTAAGTCCCTCTGCTTCTGTCATGACTGTCTTCTATATTGTTTTAGAAGGAAACCTGTTGCCCAAAGCCAACAAACCCAAAGTCAGCAAGGAGGGTCTCATATACCACTGTGATGGATTTATTCCACAGGTGTTGCTTTCAAATAAGTTCTGCTGTAAACTGTGTGGGTCTAGATTCGCAAGTACAACTTTAGATTCCCTGAGTGTAGGTTTTATACAGAATCCTTATGCTAAAAGCATGTGTTAGTAGAAGGGACAGTTCTGATATTTTAAAATTCCAAAATATTGCAACCTGCCTATATGGTTTGAATTGGTGTCAACCCAATACTAGTAACAGAATGAGAGAAGAGGCTTTGATACATTCAGTTTCTGTTTACACACAGGAAATTTGCTTCTCAGCTCTGCCATTTATTATTGATTCTTTAAGGATTCAAAGTGCTTTCTTTTTGCTAGCTTTTACAAGAGGTTGTTATCGTTCCTATAGCCTAATTTGGTGCTTTCTTTCTCAGGTTTGGGAGGAAGTTTATAATCAGGTTGTGTTTCCTCCAGCTTGCCATTGCTGACACCTTTACAGTCATTGCCCCCAACTTCCTCATTTACTGCTCACTACGTTTCTTGGCTGGAATGTCTACTACATGCCTCCTGACAACTAATGTTTTGCTCAGTAAGTCAATGCTTTGTATCTTAAGGGTTTTCCAAGTCTTAACTCTGACCTTGAGACTCCATGTGTATTTGAATTAAAGACTCCGCTTGTGTTTTCTTTCAGCACTGGAATGGACAGAGTCCCGATACCAGGCCATGGCAACAACGCTGCTGATGGCCGCCTCTAGCCTGGGACAGACAGTCTTGGGAGGCCTGGCTTTTGCCATTCGAGACTGGCAAACTCTCCAGCTAGTGATGTCTGCACCAGTCTTTGTTTTATTTCTGGCCTCAAGGTATGAGCCTTCTTTACTCCTTTGTCTTGTGAGAGTCTGGGGTGAGAATGTACACGGAATCCGATACAAGAATTCTGTTTGGCCCTGGTCTATGCCTAAGTTTTGAAGAAGGAAATGGCAACCCGCTCCAGTATTCTTGCCTGGAAAATTCCATGGACAAAAGCCTAGTAGGCTACAGTCCATGGGGTCGGAAAGAGTCGGTCATGACTGGGTGACTTTCACTTTACTTCATATCTGAGTATGTACTCTTCTTATATGTGCCCTATGTACAATTTGAGAAGCAAAACAGGCAGACTTGCCAGATAAAATTAAGACCATTAAATGAAATTTGAATTTAAGATAACCAGCTAATATTTTTGTGAAATTATATCCTAAATATTGTAAGGTACATAATTATACTGCAATTTGTTCATGATATATATGAAATTTCTACCTAGGTTCTGTATTTTTGTTTGCTACTGAATAAAACACATGAAATCCCATTATATTCAAATTTCAAACAAGTAGCAAATAATTTTTTATCTAAAATATTGCATGGGGCATAATTCTAATAAAAAATTTACCTTTTTTACTTGAAGTTCAAATTTAANGTCCTGTGGCCACTGCTGAGTTTTCCAAATTTGCTGACTTATTGAGTGCAGCACTTTCACAGCATCATCTTTTAGGATTTGAAATAGCTCAGATTGGATGGTTTTTTATCATTTGTTCTATCCACACTCTGAGAGTCCCTTGGACAGCAAGGAGATCAAACCAGTCAACTTAAAGAAAATCAACCCTGAATACTCATTGGAAGGACTGATGCTGAAACTGAAACTCCAATACTTTGGCAACCTGATGCAAACAGCTGACTCATTGGAAAAGCTCCTGATGCTGGGAAAGACTGAAGACAGAAGAAGAGGATTACAGAGGATGAGATGATTGGATGGCATCACCAGTGCAATGAACATGAACTTGGGCAAAGTCCAGGAGATGGAGGAGGACAGGGAGGCCTGGCGTACTGCAGTCCATGGGGTCACAAACAGGCAGACACAGCTTGGCAACTGAACAGCATGCACAACTTTGCTCTTCTCTTTAAAAAGACTCAGGAATAGCAATTACACCCCTACCCCTAAGAAGGCTGTTCAGAAGATTATTGTCTGAAAATGACTCTCCCTCAGAGAAATGATTACAGACATATTAATAATACAGTGAGGTGAGTTCATTTAGACTGGAGGATGTAGTCTCTGTCAGTCTCATCCTTTATGTCACTACATCCTCATGACAGTTCTACAGAGTATATGGGACTGCCTCCTTGTTACACAGATGATAAAATCAAGGCAGCTATAAGTAACTCGCTTATGTAGCCAGATTCCATCATAACTGGTAGGAGCAGGAGTGATTCCAAACTGTGTGAGCCTTTGGCATACATAAATCACTTAAGGGCCCTTATTTTAGAAAAATGACACATTATGAAGAGACATTTTTTGTGCCCTTACAAGAACCTTGACAAAGGCCTCTACAAGTAAGGATCCCTCATGTTTCAGCTTCATGAGCTCCCTGGTAAATTTGCCTCTGGTTGAGAAGGGAGTCAATATGACTCCAGCCTGCAATCTCAATAGTGAAGGTAAACCTCACAGAGAGGTCATCTTGTTTTCCCCTAGTTATGGTACAAGAGAATGTAAGTTTATAAATTTTGGTATAATCCAACAGGTGGTAGGCATCAGACTGGAGGGGAAAGGCATCTCTGGACAAAGGCTATGTGCAAAATGGACAAGTGAGAGATGACTACACTTTTGTCCTACTCTTTTTTTTTTTTTAGGTGGCTGATAGAATCTGCTCGGTGGTTGATTATTATAGACAAGCCCCAAAAGGGCTTAAAGGAACTTCACAAAGCGGCACACAGAAATGGAAGGAAGAATGCTGGAGATACCCTAACCATGGAGGTGAGGAGGCTGGGAGTTGGTTATAGAATGCAAGAAAAACATATATGTTATTCTTTATATTATTTATATGTCATATATATCATTCATATCCATAAGAGGAAGGGAAAGTAAGATCACAGTGGTGGTTATGAGGCTTCTTACCTCACTGTCCAGTTTCTCAACGAGTATCAACATTGTTTGTATTGACCTTGGCACAGAACACGTTGCTGCTAAAAGTAGACACAGATATTTTACTTAACAGAGGAAAAGAGTACTAATTATTAACAACTGGAAAGACTGAGCATTGGTCACACATTAACTTGGTAAGGGAAAGTAATCAAAGTTAATTTATTCTTTACAGTTCAATGTTCTGATAGCCTTTTTTCAGGGCAACAAGACCAGAAGGAAAGGTTCATGACTGTGCAGAATAGAGCATATGGAGCTTCATATTTCTGTTCATTAACTCACGAATACTTTGATTCATGCTATCTACTTAATGCCTACCTATGGCAAGTTTGGTTCTATCCCTGGAATTATGACAGTGAACACAAAAATACAAATCTCTGTTTTGTGAAAGTGACAGTCAACTTACCACAAGTCCCAAGGGTAAAACTGACTAGGTATGCCTCAAAGAAGTGATTTTCTTTTTTATTTTCCTTCCTAGCTAAGTAAAACATTGTAGACCATTAAGTGACTCATTCATCATATCATGCACATACATAAAATACTTATCAAGAGGTTAGTGTGTGAGACATGTTATTTGGTCATGAATAACAGAATAAGCCAGGGTCCCAGCCTTCAAGAATCTTTTATATAGATATGAGGGGGAAAGTAACAGATATTTTTTGATCTAAATATTTGCAATGATAAGGGATAGAAAGATTTCTATTGAAGACCCTGAAAAAAGAGCCTACCTTCATTTTATTGGGAAAAAAATTAATAATTAGCTGGTTCAAGAAGAGAAATGCAACATTTCTGGAAGCATATTCAATGACATATCTAATGAAAATTTTTATACTCCCAAAAGAAAGCAGCAGCTCTTTTTAAAAGAGATTTGAATAAGGAGAAGCAAAATGCTTCTGAGATTAAGATTCCACTGAAGATGGGGGAAAGGAATCAAAGCATGCTCAGTTGTGTCTGGCTCTCTGCAACTCCATGGACTGTAGCCCGTCAGGCTCCTCTATCCATGAGATAGTCCTGGCAAGAAAACCAGAGTGGGTTGCCATTTCCTTCTTCAGGGGATCTTCCTGACCCAGGGATTGAAGCTGTGTCTCTCACGTCTCCTGCATTGGCAGGAGGGTTCTTTACCACTGAGCCACGTGGGGAGAAATCCAAGTTTCTCCCAAAATGAACCCATTACACGGAGATAATACCCCTGAGGGTCCTTGACATGATGGAGAATATGTTGGTACATGCTTTCAAAAGAAAAAAGAAAACCTCTAAATTGGTGTTGGCCTACGGTTCTTTTAAAACTGCATTGATAGAACTCTATCTCATACAAAATTAGACTGTACCAACTTACTTCTGAGGAACTATCTTTATAGTCAAGCCCAAATCTAACATTTTGCCTACCAGTTTGGCCCAGTACAGAGAATGAAAGATTTGCTCTTACAAGGGCCAGGCACATAACAAAAACAAGTCATACAAGTAAGAAGTAAGACAAGAATAAAGCGCTATCAAAGTGAAAGGCAGCTGACAATCCCCTCAGTGCCAGGGGAAGGAAGGGAGTTTTGCACAAGAGGAACAACTGGGATTTGGTTTACAAGACGGATTCACTGCATGAATGACTACTCAGTATTAATTTGATTTTTTCATTTTGTAAAAGTAACTTAGAAATTTGTGATCTTAATCTTGTTTTAACTTCATCTGATGAATGGCCTGACACACCCACTTCAATCATAACTTAAATTTGTTCCACTTATATCCACTCAAATATCAGTTTATCTTTTAACAGGACTGTAATTGTTTTACAATGTTGTGTTAGTTTCTGCTGTACAATGAAGTGAACCAGCTATATGTATACATATATACCCTCCCTCTTGGACCTCCCTCCCACCTTCCATCCTTCCCACCCATCTAGATCATCACAGGCACCCTGTGCTATTCAGCTATCTATTTTATACATGGCAGTGTATATATGTCAACCCTAACCTCCCAATTCATCCACCTTCCCCTTCCACTACTGTATACATGTGTCTGTCTTCTACATCTGCGTCTGTATTCCTGCCCTGCAAGTAAATTTATCTGTACCATTTCACATATATGCATTATTATTACTCCAATCTTGAATGTCTGAGAGCCCAGTATATAACACATCTCTTTTTCCCAAAACACATACAACTTAGGTACAATTTTAAGTTCACAGAAAGACAGAAAGCAAAATCTTTGTTTTTTCACTCCAGTGAAAATTGGAATAATAGATGTGACTTTAAATATCTAGCCCCAGAGTATCATCAGCAGGATGAAGGGCTAGGAGGGGCCAACACTTGTCTCCCCCTTAAAAACAATAAAAACAATAAATAAACAGCTTGTTGTTGTTGTTTAGCCACTAAGTTACGTACGACTCTTTTGCAACCCCATGGATTATATCCCACCAGGCCCCTCGGTCTGTCTAGGGTTTCCCAGGCAAGAATACTGGAATGGGTTGCCATTTCCTTCTCCAAGGGATCTTCCTGACCCACATCTCCTGCACTGACAGGCAGATTCTTTACACTGAGCCACCAGGGAAGCCCAAAATAAACAACTACCAACCGACAAAAATAGCTCTGGAAAAAGGCTGGACTACAAGGACAAAACAGCAGAAACACAAAAGTCAAAAGGATATCTGCATAGAAGAAGTGCAGGAAGCATTTTACCTGCATCACCCTGTGCTCCAACCCAGAGTAGCCTGGTAACAGGAGGAGTCCCCATGCAAGGATATTACCCTATGAGGAAATGGAGAGCAAGATACTTCTGCAAGCCGCAACCCTCATGGACTTTTACAGACTTTGCTTCTGAGGACTCACATAGGCTTCACCTATGCTGATCAGATGTCAGAGATACCTGGAGTCCTAGATACTGTGTTTCTTCTCCAAGGCTGCCACTGCCACTGTGGTGAGACCTTTCCCCAGGAACCCCAGTCACTGTTGTGTCCAGCTCTCTGGGATCATGACTGCACAGAATTAAGTATCCTTTCATGAGAGAAATTCTCAAAAAATCAGGTATAGAGGCAATGTACCTAAATATGATAAAAGGCCATATATGACAAGCCCATAGCTAACATCATACTCAATGGTGAAAAGTTAAAAGCCTTTCTTTAAGATCAAGAACAAGAGAAAGATGCCCACACTCATCATTTCTATTCAACATAGTTTGAAATCCTTACCATAATAATTAGGCAAGAAAAATAAATAAAGCCATCCGGGTCAGAAAGGAAGAAGTAAAATCAATTCTGTTTGCAGATGATATGATCTTATGTACAGCGTTGACATGAAACAAACAGATTGCTAGGTATTTCTCCAGTAAAGATGGGTTTATTCAGGATCAATAGAGAATTGCATTTCAGGGCTTGCAACCATGGTGAGCCATGTGCAAGTTCCTGCATGGGAAGGGAAAGAAAACACCTTTGTGGGGAGGAAAAAGCAGTTGGGAGATCTTTTATAGTTAACAGAGAGTCCATGGCTTCATTGGTTTGTCCTTGCCAGGAAAGAAAAGGAGTCTTTCTTCTTCCTGTTGGGCTCTACTACTATCACAAGACATGGAAGCTCCCCCTTCTAATCTCTTGATTCTATCTAACTGAAGTTTCTATTTATTAAGTTTATACAATAGAAAATCCTAACGACTCCATATAAAAACCTTGTTAGGACTGATAAGCAAATTCAGTAAGGTTGAAGGATAAAAAAAACCAATATTAAAAATTAATTACATTTCTACACACTAACAACCAACTATATGAAAGAGAAATTAGGAAAGCAAACCCATTTACAATAGTTTAAAAAAACAATAAAATATTTAGGAATAATTTAAGCAAGGAGGTGAAATTTTTCTGTATACAGAAAACTATAAAANTAGTTTGAACCCTACAGACTCCCTAAAAGTGCCCAGAGACAAGAGGTTTCCTTAGACCACAATTTTTTTTCATTATATAAAAAAGAAAATCGTGGGCAAATGCAATAGGATTTATCCATGTTGCAGCATGTATACCTGTGGTGGATCCATGTCAATGTGTGGCAAAACCACTACAATATTGTAAAGTAATTAGCCTCCAATTAAAATAAATAAATTTATATTAAAAAATAAGTTTCAAACCATATATCTGATTAGGAGTTAATATTCAAAAATATATATAAATAAACTATTAACTTTTATCAAATGAGCAAATAATTCAATTTTAAATGAGCAAAGGATCTGAATAGATATTTTTCTAAAGAGAAACAAATGGCCAATAGGTATGTGAAAAGGTGCTCAGCATAAATTTAGGGACATGCAAACTAAAACCACAATGAAGTATTATCTCACACCTATTGTCAAAAAGACAAGAGATAACAAATGTTCACAAGGATGTTGAAAAAGGAAAACCTTACACATGTTGTTGATGGGAATGTAAATTGGTACAGCCATTGTGGAAAATGCTATGGTAGCATTTGTGGAAAATGCTACCAATGGTAGCATTGGTAGTTTCTCAAAAAGTTAAAAACTGAGCTACCATATGACCCAGCAATTCTACTTCTGGGTGTATATCCAAAGGAAATGAGATCAGTATCTTGAAGGGAAATCTGCACATCCATATTAATTTATCAGTTTTCATAATAGACAAAATTTAGAAATAGTCTAGATGTCCTTCAGAAGTTAAATGAATAAGAAAGTGTGAGATACACAGACATATGCAACGGGATATTATTCTGACTTTTAAAAATATAAGGAAATCTTCCCATTTGCAGCAACATGGATTAACCTGCAGGGTATTATGCTAAGGGAAATAAGCAAGACAAATATTTTATGATACTACTTACATGTGCAATCTCGAAAAAAGAAAAAATCAGTTTCTTAGAAACAAAGAACAGAATAGTGGTTGCAAGGGGCTGGAGAAAAGGAGAAATGGGGAGACATCGGTCAAAATGTAAAAACCTTTAGATATAAGTCTGGGGATCTAATGTACAGCATGGTGACTATAGTTAGTGATAACGGCATCCAATGAATGCTTCCCTGGTAGCTCAGATGGTAAATAATCTGCCTGCAGTGCAGGAGACCTGGGTTCAATCCCTGGGTCAGGAAGATCTCCTGGAGAAGGGAATGGCTACCCACTCCAGTATTCTTGCCTGGAGAATCCCATGAGCAGAGGAGCCTGGTGGGCTACAGTTCATGGGGTTTCAAAGAGTCAGACATGACTGAGCAACTAACACTAACACTGATATATACAAAATAGGTAATCAACAAGGGTTTACTGTACACTTTATAACACAGGGAATAATAGTAAGTATTTTATAATAACCCATAATAAAAATAACATGAAAAATTTTATGTATATGATTATATGCATAATATATATAGATCACTTTGCTGTAAGCCCAAAACTAACATGATATTATAAATCAACTGTATTTCAATTAAAAATTAATAAATAAAAATCTTTAGTTAATAAGTTAATAAGGATCCCAGCGGTACTAGATGTAAACTGACATGCACATTTGTGACTACAAATCTCTGTGAGAAAGGCATTGTTTTTTGTTCTCCAAATATCCTAATCCTGATTCTCTGATTTATTCATCTGTTTATTCTTCTTTTTAATGACAAGGACACTGAGGCTAAAAGATATTCAATTAACTTCTAAGATCTCCTGGAGAAGGGAATGGCTACCCACTCCAGTATTCTTGCCTGGAGAATCCCATGAGCAGAGGAGCCTGGTGGGCTACAGTCCATGGGGTTTCAAAGAGTCAGACACAACTGAGCAACTAACACTAACACTAATATATACAAAATAGGTAATCAACAAGGGTTTACTGTACACTTCATAACATGGAATAATAGTAAGTATTTTATAATAACCCATAATAAAAATAACATGAAAAATTTTATGTATATGATTATATGCATATTATAAATCAACTGTATTTCAATTAAAAATTAATAAATAAAAATCTTTAGTTAATAAGTTAATAAGGATCCCAGCAGTACTAGATGTAAACTGATATGCACATTTGTGACTACAAATCTCTGTGAGAAAGGCATTGTTTTTTGTTCTCTAAATATCCTAATCCTGATTCTCTGATTTATTCATCTGTTTATTCTTCTTTTTAATGACAAGGACACTGAGGCTAAAAGATATTCAATTAACTTCTCAAGGTACATACCTGACAAATGGCAGAGCCATTGTATAACACCAGGTAATAAAGCCTGGGCATAAAACATACTTCTCCAAGATCTCCTATGATTTTGTCCTTAGATTTAATGCTAGGCATTTTATTCATGAAGGCACAACATGCTAGGATTTTCCTTAAAGAGGCTGACTCAGGGACCAAAGTTAAGGTTGTCACAAGAATTAGTCTCCTTCCTGAAAAAAACTTTCCTACCAAGAGCAGCCAACTGAGAACCAAGCTCAGTTGCCAGACTTTCAGGCCCCTCTCATAAAAATGAAGCTTTGGACCTAAATTCAAGTAACTCTTCCTTTAGTGGCTTCCTGGCCTGAATCTACAATCTTGACGCCCCTTTTGATTCCCAACAGGCAAACTAAGTCTTATGCCAAAATGTCACTGTCACTGCACAATTTCCCTTTAACTCCATGATTCTCCATTCATAGCACTGTACAGCTGTCATTACATATTCAGTGTCTATATTTTCCAGTAGAAACAAAGGGAAGTCATCTACCTGGTCCTCTGTTGGGAACCTCACAAAGCCTACAATTGTGTGACCACTGAACAGTTTGTTTTGTTGAAGGTCCTGAGATCCACCATGCAGGAGGAGCTGGAGGCAGCGAAGACCAAACCTTCTGTGTTTGACTTGTTCCGCACACCCAACCTGCGTAAAAGGATCTGTCTCCTGTCCTTTGTGAGGTGGGCTTCACACAACACATGAAGGCTGTTAAAATAGTGGAGATGTGATTGTATTTGTTATTGCAACATCTATAACATGCTAGAGGGACAGATTTGAGACAAAGCATAAGGAAGTTAAGAATATGGTTGCTATGTTTGGTAAAACTGAAAAGGTTATGAAAAGGCAAGCACAAAAGCAATTATACGATGAGTTCTGCTTGTCACACCACCCTGCCAGGTTCATCATACAGATGCTGAGAATGTCAATCATAGCACACAAATGGCTATAAGTTTCTTGGCTATAAGTTTCTTCACTTGTTCTAATTTTAATTAAAGTAAAACTACAAATAGTAAAATGAACAAATATATGTTGTCCAATGAATAATTCCATATATAGATAGCCATCACCCAGATCAAGGTATAGAAAAAAAGCCAAATTTCTAGAAGGATCCATCATATCTCCTCTACAGCAAAACTCTCTCCCTGAAAGTGTAATAATAATTATGACTTCCATCATTATACAATCATTTTATGATAATTTTAAAGTGATAATCTTGCAAGGAAATATTTCACAAAATAGACCATTCCTTAAGAGTTTATCGCCAACCACTCCCTGTCTGGGCCAATATTATCGCAATTTGTAGGGCCTATAGTCTAAACTTATGTGTCTTTCACCTTTGTTCACCACAGATTTGCAAACGTGCTGACCCATTTTGGCCTGACTCTCCACCTCCAGCACTTGGGGAGCAATATTTTCATGTTCCAGATTCTCTTTGGCATAGTCACCATCCCAGCCAATGGCGCTGCTCTTTTGGCCCTGAATCACCTGGGCCGTCGAACAACCCAGATGCTTTTCATGTTTCTGCTGGCAGTCTCCACTCTAGCCATCACATGCGTGTCTGAAGGTAAGAAAAGACCAAATAGTCAAGAAAGAAAATGTCTTCTCTGCCCTCAATTCTCATAGGTGTGTACTGGTCACAGCTATTTCGAGCAAGAAGAAAATGGAGATTGGGTTCTAGCAATTCCCCAAAACCAATCTGGAGTTTTAGTACATGTGTAATCTAAGTCACTTCAGTCTTGTCTGACTCTCTGTGACCCCATGGACTGTAGCCCATCAGGCTCCTCTGTCCATGGGATTCTCTAGGCAAGAATACTGGAGTGGGTTGCAATGACCTCCTCTAGGGGATCTTTCTGATTCAGGGTTTGAACTTGCATTTCTTGCCTCTCCTGCATTGACAGGCCGGTTCTTTACTACTAGCGCCACCTAAGAAGCCCCAGGTGTTTTTAGTACATATTCTGCTATAAAGTTGCTGGGAAAAGAGCCAAAGATCCGTCAAGGTTGGCTGTGATATCATGTCCAAGAAGTATCTGGAAACTGATACCATGTATTACTGACAGTTTCTCTAAGATAGCATTTGATCACTTGGTTTTGCCCCATCACACTTCATTTGGGTGTTTGCTTTGCTTGTTTTTTTCCATGCAGTACAGCCTGCAGGGGTCTTAGCTCCCTGACCAGGGAAGCAACCCAGGCCCCCTGCAGTGGAAATGCGGAGCCTTGATCACTGGATGGCCGGGGAAGTCCTGCCTTTTTATAGTAAACATGGAGGAGCTAGGGGCTTCCCTGGTGGCTCAGCAGTAAAGAATCTGCTTGCAATGCAGGAGACACAGGTTCAGTCCCTAGGTTGGGAAGATCTCGAGGAGAAGGAAACAGCAACCTACTCCAGCATTCTTGCCTGGAGACCCCCATGGAGCCCGGGGAGCTACTGTCCATGAGATCTCAAAGAGTTGGACACAACTTAGCGACTAAACAACAGCAACCTGGAGGGTCTAGACCTTGTAACTGCATCTCATGCAAGGACACAATACTGTTACTTCCTCTCTTCAGGCTCTCTCTTTTTTTTAAATTAACTTATTTATCTTAATTGGAGGCTAATTACTTTACAATATTGCAATGGTTTTTGCAATACATCGATATGAATCAGCCTCGGGGGTACATGTGTCCCCATTCCTGAACCCCCCTCCCACCTCTCTCTCCACCCCATCCCTCTGGGTTGTCCCAGAGCACCAGCTTTGAGTGCCCTGCTTCATGCAGTGAACCATGACATTTTATTCCATGATTCTGTCTCCAGAATGTATATATATTCTCCAACTCTGGTTTAGGGGTGCGGTCTTGACCTCAAGAAAACAAAAATTTCTTATCTTCAGGCAGAGAAGAAATATCCATTAAGAACAAGTCACTATAGTTAAGGGCCTCTCTTAGAATCAATTTCACTGAATTCAGCAATTATGTGTAATAAATAAGGGAACCCAGATGGTCACCATGCTTCACCTGACTCCCAGTGTGCAGTTATATATTTTACATGATGCTTGATTAGCAGGTTCCATTCCTCATCTTTTTTTTATTATTATTATTGGAACACAATTATTTTATACTGTTGTGTTAGTTTCTGCTGTATGAAAAAATGAATCAGCTATATGTATACAGAGATCCCCTCCGTTTTGGAGCTCCCTCCTACTCCCCCATCCCACCCATACACCTCATCACAGAGCACTGAGCTGAGTTTCCTGTGCTACATAGCAACTTCTCACTAGCTAGCTATTTTACACATGGTAGTATATATATGTTATACTATATATATAGATAGATAGATAGATAGATTCCATACATATGCATTAATATACAGTACTTGTGTTTCTCTTTCTGACTAACTTCACTCTGTATGACAGACTCTAGGATCAGCTACATCACTACAAGGGGTCCAACTTCATTCCTTTTTATGGCTGAATAATATTCCCTTATATATATGTGCCACCTCTTCTTTATCCATCCATTCATCTGCTGATGGACATTTAGGTTGCTTTTATGTCCTAGCTGTTATAAACAGTGCCACACCCAAATTGGAGTAGATGCGCTTTTAGAATTATGGTTTTCTCAGGATATATGCCCAGTAGTGGGATTGCTGGGTCATATGGTAGCTCTCTTTTTAGTCTTGCTCCTCTCTTCATCTTGAACAGCATCAGCAGAGCAAGTTTGCTGCCTTACAATCAATGTCACTCCAATGTTGCAATATTCTTGTGAGATTTTTCTGTAACTGGGTGGAAACTGACTGAACCTTGCCTTCAGTGTTTCTTGAAGGCTAGCATTCTTTCCCTTGTGAAGGTCCTTACTCCCACTTTTTTAACATTATTCTAAATCTAGTTACTCTTCAAACTGTTCATTAACATAGCAGTTCTGCCCTTTTATTATATTCTTCTGCAATATAAGTCCCTTGTAAATATTGCATATGCACCAATGTTTCAAACTCCTGAGGATTTAAGCGATGATCATATCCCTCAGAAACTGCCAACAAGAGTTCTACATTCTACCTCAAGGGCAGAGGAGACAGAACAGAATTAGTGCCAGAGAACACCTGCTGGTCTCACCTTCCTTTTCCTCTTTTGCAAATCTCAGACATTCAAGGAGAATTGAGAAAATAACCCTTTTATTTGTCATGAGCCATAAAAAGTAGATAAGTCACATTTCTCAGCCTATTAGACACTGCGGCTTCTCTACAGGGTATACTTGCAAACACCTCCATTCAGATCTTCATTTGTAATTGCTGGAATGCAATTGCTTCAGCTCAGATTTCATGAGTCTCACTGGTCTTTCTCTCTCCAGAAATGCAGGCCCTGCGTATGACTTTGGCAGCTTTAGCAGTAGGAGTTTCTTTTGCCTCATTTACCAGCAATTTTTGCCATGGAAGTGAACTAATTCCTACTGTGTTCAGGTATACTGAAATCTCGTGGATACTCTTTCAGGATCAAAACAGACCTTTCTGAATTAACTGACATTTATTGAAGGAAGAAAAGAAGATTGGTTAGTTATCAAGGCAATCAATTATAATTACAGAACACCAGCAAATTATAAGCAAATTTATTTAAAGAAGACTTTGTTGGGTACTGGGTGATGTCCTTAAATGCATCATCTTATATAGTCTTCTGAACCACACAAAGGATAGATGGCATGAGTAATGATATCTTTTTTAATGATCAAACTGTGTTTTAATGCACTTAATGTACTTGAATTTGAAAAAAAATCACTTATGACTAGTAGAAAATTTCAAAACCAAGCATATGTCATCAGCCTTCTCCACTGCTATGCTATCTCCCATAATCAAAGCACAATAATAAATCACAAATTATATTGCAGATTTGTACATGACTTTCTTGTATTATTGTTTATACCCTAAGGGTAACATCTGTGGGAATCATGGGAATTGCTGCTAATATTGGGGCAGCCCTGGCTGCCCTCTTGATGATCCTAACGGTGTATTCCCCTCACCTGCCCTGGATCATCTACGGAGTCTTACCCATCCTCGCTGGTCTTGTTGTCCCATTCCTTCCTGAAACCAAGAATAAGCCTCTGCCCGACTCCATCCAGGATGTGGAAAATGAGTGAGTAAACCCTCTAAGCGTCCCTTGGGGGAGCTGTGCACTCAGGGTCTGTGACGAGGAGGGCAAAACATGAATTGAGACACTGTCCCCCAAACAAGCTAAGCTCTAAGCTATTTCCAGGTGATCAGTGCCTTTGGTTTAGCTACAGTCTCATCCCTCCCCCACAGTGACCTCAGACTCCCCCAAGCTTCCCTGGATCACCCAGACCAACAGCAGTATGCACCAGTAGGTTTAGTGGTGAAGAAGCCAAAATTAGATGCCTTGGTGTGACATACACACCCTGAAGGTGTTTCACAAACATGATCCAAACACCGGATTCTCATTCCTCAGACCCTGGCAGACCTCAGTCAAGTGGGGGCAGTAAGCTCTCTGAGATTGTTGGTGTCTGTAGGTCTGTGACCTTCCCAGGTCACTGAAGACCTGAGGGAGACCAGGGAGAAGACAAGAGCCCCTCCCCTCCCACAGATAACGATGTATCTCGGGGGAAAGAGTCCTATTGTGTTGCCTGTGAAATTCGAACCATCTGACTTTCCCTGGAAATGAAATGTTACAAAAAGAGAGAAGAGTAGTAAATATTGGGATCTTAAAGTGATGACTGGGAAAGGATTCTATGACTTTCTGTGTTCCATTTGCCTTTTCCAAAGACTTTTGACCAACGCAACGGTGTCCATAAGTAAAAGTAGAAACTATCGAAGCTGCCTTCCCAAATTTTGCTCTGGGCGTTTGGTCTTTTTCTTCACAAGATTCATTCCAACTCTCAGAGCAGAGGTCACAATTTTCACCCAAGCTGGTGGACAAAAGATTAGCTTATTCTAAAAAATAAACATGTAGGGCATATAGGCTTCTTCCATGTCTTTTCGTTTTTGTGTTTGCTTACTGGTTTATTTGTATTTGTCCTAGGGAAAAAAGGTCAAGAAAAACAAAGCAGGAAGATACTTTCATGAAAGTGACACAGTGTTAAGGGATTCCGGGAATGAACTGTTCATCAAAGAGGAAGAAAAAATTGGTGTCTTTCCTAATAACAAAATTTGAAAAATAAATAAAACAAAAGATACAATAAAAACATAGATCCCATTTACAATTGCTGTACTAATTGCTAAATATTCAATACTTACAACCAATCATTGTAAGACGTATGAAAGAAAATAGAATTATAAAAATATTTGTATTAGAATGTTTATGTAATGGTAGAAACCTAGTGTAGTGAAAACACTAGTGTTTTTTGCTGTTACTTGGTAGAATAACTGGTAGGGGAATTACAATAAAAAAACTATATTTTTTGAGATATTAAAACTTGTTCCAAATATATTTAGAAATTAATAGTAGACAAGATGATTCAGAAAAAGAGGATTATAGAGTGGATTGAGCTGCTTGTTAAGTGGAGAAGCATGTGCAAGTCTTTAATATTGTAAGCTATAATAGTAAAAAAGAAATAGTAATAGCAGATGCATTTTCAAACTAAAAAGAAATCCAGAAACAGACCATAGTATTTTAACATTTAATATATCATAATTTGGTTATAAATCACTAGAGGAAATAGAGTATTGTGCAAAAAATAGCATTAACCATGTGTTTAGAAGTTGCTAATAATTTGATCACATAGTAAACCAGAAAAATCTACCTGAATAAAGTTAAATGGAACAAATAAACAAGAGAAATGATTGTACTGCTTTTTTCTGTTTTGAATGACTTTTATCTCATTTTCTTACCTAATTGCTCCAGCTGGGACTTCCAGTACTATGTTGAATAGAAGTGTTAAGAGTGGACATTCTTGCCTTGTTCCTCATATTAAAGGAAACACTTTCAGTTTCCCCTGTTAAGTATAATGTTAGCTGTGGGCTTCTCATAGATAGCCTTTATTAAGTATAATGTTAGCTGTGGGCTTCTCATAGATAGCCTTTATTAAGTATGATGTTAGCTGTGGGCTTCTCATAGATAGCCTTTATTATGTTGAGGCAATTTCCTTTTATTCCTGTTTATTAGTGTTTTATCACAAAAGGGTGTTATTTTTTGTGAAATTCTTTTCTGTGTTCATTGAGATGAACATTTGATTTTTATCCCTCATTCTGTTAATGTGGCATGTCACATTATTGACCTGATGTGTTGAACCATCCTTATATATGAAGGGTAAATCCCACTGGGTCATGATGTATAACCCTTTGAACAAGCTGTCAAATTATTTCCTAACATTTTGTTGGGAATTTTTGTGTCTACATTCATCAGGAATACTGGCCTATAACATTCTTTTCTTGTATTAATAGTATCTTTGGCTTTGGTATCAGGATAATGCTAGCCTCAAAATATTACTTTGGGACTGTTCCCACTTCTTCAATTTCTGATAGAGTTTTGAGAACTTGTGTTAATTCTTTAAATGTCTGATAGAATGCACCTGTGAAGACTTCTAGTCCCAAGCTTTTCTTTGTTATAACATAGTGTGTATGTCCTTTTCTTTGTTATAGCAAAGTGTGTACATGCTCAGTCATGTCCGACTCTTTGCAACCATTTGGCCTGTAGCCCTCCAGGCTCCTCTGTCCATGGGATTTTTCAGGCAAGAATACTGGAATGGGATCTCCTCCAAGGGATCTTGCTGACCCAGGGGTCTGACCCATGTCTCCTGAGTCTTCTATGTTGACAGGTGGATTCTTTACCACTGAACCATCTGAGAAGTCTGGCACGAAGGCTTGGGTGGTTCAGCTGGTAAGGAACTTACCTGTCAATACAGGAGATGCGAGTTTGATCCCTGGGTCAGGAAAATGCCATGGAGTGGGGAAGGGCACCCCGCTCCAGTATTCTTGCCTGGGAAATTCCATGGACAGAGGAGTCCGTGGGGTTGCAAAGAGTTGGACACGACTGAGGGCATATGCTCCATTTTCTTTGTTGGGAGGTTTTTAATTAATGATTTAATTTACTTCCTCATTATTGGTCTGCTCAGAATTTTTTTATTTCCTCCAGATTCTAGGAATTTATATCTTATAGGTTACCCAATTCGTTGACGTATAATTGTTCATAGTGGTGTCCTATGATCTTTTTAATTTCTCTGGCACGAGTGCTAATGTCTCTTCTCTTTCACTTCTGATTTCATTTATTTGTCTCCTGTTTTTTTTTCTTAGTGAAAAATATCAGTTTTATTTTATTTTTTCCAAAACATTACTTAGTTTTGGATTTTTTAATTGTGTCTGCTATTTCATTTATTTCTGCTCTAATCTTTAATGTTTCCTTCCTCCTGTTAATTTAGGCTCAGTTTCTTCTTTTTCTAGTTTCTTCAAGTGTGACGTTAAGATTTTTAACTTGAGATATTTCTTCTTTTTAGTGAAAGCACTTATTACTATAAATTTCCCTCTTAGTACTATTTTTCTGCATACCATAGTTTAGATACCTTGCATTTTCATTTTTGTTTGTCTCAAGATATTAAATAATTTCCTTTTTTATTTCTTTTTTGGCCCACTGGTTGTTCAAGAGTATGTGGTTAAACTTCCACATATTTGTGAATTTTCCAGTTTTCCTCCTGTTATTGATTTATAGTTCTATTTCAGTGTGCTTGTAGAAAAATTTAGTATGATTTCAACGATTATGATTTTATTTGTAGAAGACCCTAAAGACTTCACATTAAAAAAAAAAAAAAGAAACTGTGAGAACTAATAAACAAATGCAGTAACATTGCTGGATACAAGATCAACAAGCAAAAATCAATTGCATTTCAATACACTAACAATGAACTATCCAAGACAGAGATTAAGAAAATAATTTAATTTACAATAGCAAAAAAAGAATAAGACAGTTAGAATGAAGAGGTGAAAAACTTGTACTTTGCAAATTATATGAAGTAATGGAATGGATGCCATGATCTTAGTTTTTTGAATGTTGATTTTTATGCCAGCTTTTTCACTCTCTTCTTTCACCTTCATCAAGAGTCTTTAATTCCTCTCCGCTTTCTGCCATAAGTGTGGTGCCATCTGCATATCTGAGGTTATTGATACTTTTGGCAATCTTGATTCCAACTTGTGCTTCATCCAGCCTGGCATTTCGCATGATGTACTCTGCATATAAGTTAAATAAGCAGGGTGACAATATACAGCCTTGATGTACTCCTTTCCCAATTTGGAACCAGTCTGTTGTTCCATGTCTGGTTCTGTTGCTCCTTGACCTGCATATAGGTTTCTCAGGAGGCAGGTCAGGTATTCTGGTAGTCACATCTCTTTAAGAATTGTCCACAGTTTGTTGTGATCCACAGAGTCAAAAGCTTTAGCACAGTCAATGAAGCAGAAGTAAATTTTTTTAGAATTCCCTTGCTTTCTCTGTGATTCAATGGATGTTGGTAATGTGATCTCTGGTTCCTCTGCCCTTTCTAAACCCAGCTTGTACATCTGCAAGTTCTTGGTTCACATATTTTTGAAGCCTAGTTTGAAGGATATTGAGCGTTACCTTGCTATCATGTGAAGATAGATTAGTCATGAGTATATTTGCACCAATAACCTTCAGAAAAGTGATCTATATGAAAGAAGATAAAGACTGAAATGCCAAAATAATAGGAGATTTTTAACCCTTCCCTCAATACAAGGCATAGCAACAAGAAAGGACATAGACGGCCTTTAAAATGCAGTATCTTTAGATATCTTAGGGTAAATCTTGTGTATCAACCTATTGAACTTTACTATCTAATATTCCAGATTATGCCTTCCTATCAAGCAAATATTAAAAAATTCACATGAAAAATTTAATCATACAGTAAGTTAAAGGTTTTCTGCCTAATCAAAAACATCTTTGTGACCAGATGTGTGAGTTTTTCCCCACACCAACAAATTCTCCAACACCAACTAGGTCTCCTACAATTCAGTTCAGTTCTGACACCTCTGCTGGAGTTAGTGTCAGAGCCCGCAGGTTAAGGGCTCAGTCCCACAAGACTATCCCCACTTCAGATGTCAATCAAAGGAAGTGGGTCCCCAAATTATCCACACTTGTGTCTGACAGCTACAAAACTGGGGTTGGCCCTGGCCCCCTCTCCTCAAGTTATAACAGTTCACATAACTCAAGGAAACTATTGACATTCGCTGATTCATTACAGTAAAGGATATGGATGAGCATACAGATGAAGAGGTATATAGCATGATGTCTAGAAGTGTTCCAAACATAGGAGTCGGGGTGTGCCACCCCTCCCAGTGCATGGGTGTGTTCACAAACCTGGAAGCTCTCAGAACGCTGTATGCATGAATGCCAAGTCTCTTCAGTCACGTGCAATTCTTTGCGACCCTATGGACTGTAGGCAACAGGCTCCTCTGTCCATAGGATTCTCCAGGCAAGAATACTGGAATGGATTGCTATGCCCTCCTCCAGGGAATCTTCCCAACCCAGGGATCATACCTCTGTCTCTTATGTCTCCTGCCTTAGCAGGCAGGATCTTTACTACTAGTGCCACCTGGGAAGCCCCCTCAGAACCCCATGGTTCTGGGATTTTCATAGAGGCTTCACCACATAAGCATGATGGATAATTCAATTTCCAGTCCCTCTTTCCTTTCCCAGAGGACTGGGAGGGTAAGGCAAAAACTTCAAAGTTTCTGATCATGGTTCGGTTTTTCTGGTGACCAGCCCCCATCCTGATCTTCCTCTGCCTTTTACAAATCCAGCTTGTACATCTGGAAGGAGCCAGAGATCAAATTGCCAACATCCATTGGATCATAGAATAAGCAAGAGAGTTCCAGAAAAACATCTACTTCTGCTTCATTGACTATGCTAAAGTCTTTGACTGTGTGGATCACAACAAACTGTGGACAATTCTTAAAGAGGTGGGAATACCAGACCACCTTACCTGCCTCCTAAGAAACCTGTATGCAGGTCAAGAAGCAACAGTTAGATCCGGACATAGAACAACAGACTGGTTCCAAATTAGGAAAGGAGTACATCAAGGCTGTATATCATCACCCTGCTTATTTAATTTATATGCAGAGTACATCATGTGAAATGCCAGGCTGGATAAGGCTCAAGTTGGAAACAAGATTGCTGGGAGAAATAGCAACAACCTCAGATATGCAGATGACACCACCCTTTGGCAGAAAGTGAAGAGGAATTAAAGAGCCTCTTGATCAAGGTGAAAGAGGACAGTGAAAAAACTGGCTTAAAATTCAACATTTAACACATTGAGATCATGGCATCCGGTCCCATCACTTCATGGCAAATAGATGGGAAAACAATGGAAACAGTGACATTTTGGGTTCCAAAATCACTGTGGATGGTGACTGCAGCCATGAAATTAAAAGACACTTGCTCTTGGAAGAAAAGCAATGACAAATCTAGACAGCATATTAAAAAGCAGAGACATTATTTTGCCTACAAAGGCCCATAGAGTTAAGAGTATGGTTTTTCCAGTAGTTATGTATGGATGTGAGAGTTAGAAAATAAAAAGGCTGAGCACCAAAGAATTGATGCTTTTGAATTGTGGTGCAAGAAAAGACTCTTGAGAGTTTCTTGGACAGCAAGGAGATCAAACCAGTCAATCCTGAAGGGAATCAGTCCTGAATATTCATTGGAAGGACTGATGCTGAAGCTGAAACTCCAATACTTTGGCCACCTGATTCGAAGAACTGACTCATTGGAAAAGACCTTGATGCTGGGAAAGATTGAAGGCAGGAGGAGAAGGGAATGACAGAGGATGAGATGGTTGGATGGGAT